CCCCGCTCTTGCTCTCTCAAGTAAATAAAAAAATCTTTTTTTTTAAAGATTTCATTTATTTATTTATTTGAGAGAGAGCATAAGCAGGGGGAGCAGCAGGCAGAGGGAGGAGGAGAAGCAGGCTCCCCACTGAGCAGGGAGCCCGATGTGGGACTTGATCCCAGGACCCCGAGATCATGACCTGAGCCCTGAAGGCATACGCTTAACTGACTGAGCCACCCAAGTACCTCAATAAATAAAAAAAATCTTAAAAAAAAAAAAAGAAATGAGTACTGAAAAATGAGAATGTAAAAAAGAAGAAAAGAACAAAGAAAAAAAGAAAAAGTGAGAGTATATAAGATGTAGGGTGTGGGGTAGGAGGAGGGGAGCCAGAAAGATGGGAGCAGGGGATAATGGGAAGCCTACCAGGCATTGGCCATTGCCTGTACAAGGTCCTGAGAAAGAAAGAGTGAAATAGCCAAACACAAAGTACCATGAGTCTGGAGAGTAGACAAGGGTAGATCATGCAGAACACTATAAGCCACATCATGAGTCATGCCTTTATCTTAAAAAGAAAGAGGAGCATCTGGATGGCATCAAGCAGGAAAATGACACGATCAGATTTGCATTTTAACAATCACAGACTGGGGGCGCCTGGGTGGCTCAGTCGTTAAGCGTCTGCCTTCGGCTCGGGTCATGATCCCAGGGTCCTGGGATCGAGCCCTGCATCGGGCTCCCTGCTCAGCGGGGAGCCTGCTTCTCCCTCTCCCTCTCCCTCTACCTGATGTTCCCCCTGCTTGTGTTCTCTCTCTCTCTGATCAATCAATAAATAAAATCTTAAAAAAAAAAAAGGAGAAATGAAGAAAAGTGGTGCCAGTAATAGCTGGAGACACAGAATAAAATGGGCACATCTTCCTGGATCATAAAACTGACAATTTCACTTGATATTTTGTAAAAAAAAAAAAAATATATATATATATATAATGTATATATATATATATACACACACATAATATATACACACATATGTATTTATTTACTTTTAAGATTTTATTCATTTATTTAAGAGAGAGGGAAAGAGCACCAGCGTATGAGCAGGGGGAAGGGCAGAGGGAGAAGCAGACTCCCCGCTGAGCAGGGAGCCCGATGTAGGGCTCGATCCCAGGACCCCGAGATTATGACCTGAGCTGAGGGCAGACGCTTAACTGACGGAGCCACCCAGGCATGCCTATTTATTTATTTTTAAAAGATTTTATTTATTTATTTGACAGAGAGAGAGCACAAGTGGGAGGTAGGGGCAGAGGGAGCGGGCAGACTCTCTGCTGAGCAGAGAGCCTGACTCAGGGCTGGATCCCAGGACCCCAGGATCATGACCTGAGCAGAAGGCATGAAGGCATATGCTTAACCAACTGAGCCACTAGGAGCCCCTTTATTTATTTTTTTTAAAGATTTACTTATTTTGAGAGAGAGAGAGAGAGAAGTGGGGGAGGAGCAGAGGGCAAGGAAGAGAATCTCAAACAGGCTCCATGACCAGCACAGAGCCTGACACGGGGAGCCTGACATCATGATCTGAGCTGAAATCAAGTGTCTGACACTTAACCGACTGAGCCACCAGTCGCCTCTGTAAAAAAATTTTAAATCAAGTATTATAACTTCTTGGGCTGCCTGGGTGGCTCAGTCAGTTAAAGGTCTGCCTCGGCTCAGGTCATGATCCCAGGGTCCTGCTTGGTGGGGAGTCTGCTTCTCCCTCTCCCTCTTCGACTCTCCCTGCTTGTGTGCTCTCTCTCTCTGTCAAATGAATAAACAAAATCTTTTTAAAAAAAGTATTATAACTTCTAAGTAATTTCATATGGTATTTTATATGAAAACATAGCAAGAGACTTTGAAGCAGAATGCAAAATTCATTATGAATTTTTAGAATTCAGTATATGTCAAGGAAGGGCTGTTGTAGCTGCCCTACCTAGGCCGTGCCCCCTGTTTCCCTGCCCACATCCCCTCGACCTCCCCAGTTCCACACCCTTGCTTGCTGTCAGGGTGGAAACCTTTGGATTTGGGGAAGAGCTGGGGTTAGGGAAGGAAGGGCAGGAGCTTGAAGCAAACAATGTTTGGACAAACTGCTGAGGGGAGCAAGTAACCAGCAGAGTAACGGTGATGTTGAAAGAGGGAGAGGGGCGCCTGGGTGGCTCAGTCGGTTGGGCGTCTGCCTTCGGCTCAGGTCATGGTCCCGGGGTCCTGGGATCGAGCCCCACATCGGGCTCCCTGCTCGGTGGGAAGCCTGCTTCTCCCTCTCCCACTCCCCCTGCCTGTGTTCCCTCTCTCGCTGTGTCTCTCTCTGTCAAATAAATAGGTAAAAAATCTTTAAAAAAAAAGGACGTCTTTCACCCTACTTTATAAAAAAAACAACAACAAACTCACAGTTACAAGGGAAAACAAACTGAACCCATACTCACGTAAGCAAATCAAAAGTTTTTTGGCTTGTGTAATTGAAATGCCAGGGAAGTTCTGGCTTCAGGCAGAGTTTGATCTAGATACTCAAATGACGATAGAGATCTCCATCTGTGCCCCCTCTTTCTGTGGTTGCTTCATGCTCAGGGAAGCTCTCTTGCATCCTACTGGCTTAGCAATGTTAGCACACATGGGGTATCTTACCCAAAAGTTCTAGCAGAAGTCAAGGTGCTGAGGTTCAGAAGCTCTGCTTATGTGTCATGAACTCATTTCAGGGAAAGATGATACGGTGTTTTGATTGGCTAGGCCTAGGTCACATGCCCATGGACAGGGGCATGAAAGAGGGGTGGTTTTTGTTGTTGTTGTTTTTGTTTTTAAAGATTTTATTTATTTGACAGAGAGAGACACAGTGAGAGAGGGAACACAAGCAGGGGGAGTGGGAGAGGGAGAAGCAGGCTTCCCGCAGAGCAGGGAACCTGATGCGGGGCTCGATCCCAGGACCCTGGGATCATGACCTGAGCTGAAGGCAGACGCTTAATGACTGAGCCACCCAGGTGCCCCAGAGGGGTGGTTTTTAAAGGAAAATCTCTACAGTGCTAGGCAGGCAAAAATAGCAGACGTTGGCCACAGGTGATGTAATGGGGAAAAAATGGGTTTGAGTCCAGACCCTGTCACTCACTAACTAGTTGGGTAAAACTGAGCAAATTATCTAACCTCTCTGAGCCTCAGTTTTCTCATCCAAATAATGGGATTAGTCTCTATCTATCGAGTGGGGTTAAATAGGAAAAAGCATAAAAGGTGAGTGACATGTGGGAGAAGCACAAGAGATGTTCAGCTCGGGATGCTGTGAATTTAGGTTAGTGATTCCAAGCAAACATTTCATTTCAATACAAGAGCAGTTCTTTAAAGAATAGCTTCCCTTATGTACTTTCCTGCTAAGTGAGGGCTCCTAATTTTCAGCCTGACACATCCAGATTTTATATAAGATAAAGCCTTGACAACTCAGTTATGGAGATTTCTGTTTAATTTTCTTGTTAACTCAAGATTAATTTGGCTGAAAGATTCTTTGGGTTTCAAACCTTGGCATTGAAAATCAGTCTAAATTGTCTGAATCCATTTGCTTGCTCTAAGCCCATTCCACTGAACAAATTGGGTTTGCTTTTTGATAGTGAAGGATCTTCGAACACTTGCGGGCTTTGTAGATCAAAAAGTTGGTGCCAAGAGGAGACCTTCCCAAAGCAAAGCTTCCACAATCCAGTGTTTCATTATAAATCAGACCACTAGAGCCAAGAAGAAGTGACTCAAAGAGACTGCATTCACAAAAGACTGATGCAATTATTTGCATAGCAATTTATTAATTTATGATCAGGATAGTGTTTCGAGACTATAAAATACCAATGTCCCCCATCCAAGAAAGTCACTCCCCTGTGCCAGAAGACAAATAATTCATCAGCCAGTAGCTTGGTGGCATGGAATCAGTCTTGGGGACCACTTCACTAGGCCATGATGAGGTCTGACAGATCACTGCCACAGTGACCCAACTCATGGTGCCAAATGTAGCATTTGCCAACCTCTACATTTTTGAGCTTCTCTTTTCTAGGGACCCAACTGACCGTGCCTCTCTAGGACCCATCATCTATATCTTGTCCACACTATCTATAACTGGTCTACTTGATATCTACTTAATCAATTATAATTATAATGCAGTCCTGCCTTCCTGAAGTTTCACTGGGTCACCATGATGAAAATTTGTGTGATCCCAAATTCTTCAGGTGTTCTCTTTTGTCCTACCCCCACCAGTAGCTAATCTCACCCTTCCTGTACCAATTTTACTAGTTAACCCACAGAAACAGTCATATGTCCATAATGGTCAAGGTCTTGACAACTCTCAGAGATACTATCGGCTGTTACCTGGAAGGGTACTCACTGGAACCATGAATTTCACAGTGGCAAAAGAAAACATGCAGGGCTTGCAATGAATCAATATTGACCTCCACACATACTTAGGGAACAGATTCCTGCCATGGGTTTGCCACATTTCTTTCCTTTTTAAAAAAATTATTATTTATTTATTTGACAGAGAGACAGTGAGAGAGGGAACACAAGCAGGGGCAGTGGGAGATGGAGAAGCAGACTCCCCACTGAGCAGGGAGCCCGATGCGGGGCTCGATCCCTGGACCCTGGGATCATGACCTGAGCTGAAGGCAGACGCTTAATGACTGAGCCACCCAGGTGCCCCACCACATTTCTTTTTCTTTTTTTTTTTAGATTTTATTTATTTATTTGAGAGAGAGAGAATGAGATAAAGCATGAGAGGGGGCAGGGTCAGAGGGAGAAGCAGACTCCCCGCCGAGCAGGGAGCCCGATGCGGGACTCGATCCCAGGACTCCAGGATCATGACCTGAGCCGAAGGCAGTCGCTCAACCAACTGAGCCACCCAGGCACCCCACATTTCTTTTTCTTTGAAAACTCAAGACAATGTTTTTCTTAATCAAGACATTCAGTGAAGATGGCAGACTGAGTTTTGAAGATGCTACTTCTATTAAGGACACACACACTCTGAGAGAATTCTACTATTTCTTTTTTTTTTTTTTTTTTTTAAAGATTTTTTTAATTTATTTATTCAACAGAGACAGAGACAGCGAGAGCAGGAACACAGCAGGGAGAGTGGGAGGGCGAGAAGCAGGCTTCCTGCTGAGCAGGGAGCCCGATGTGGGACTTGATCCCAGGACCCTGGAATCATGACCTGAGCCGAAGGCAGACGCTTAACGACTGAGCCACCCAGGCACCCAGAGAATTCTACTATTTCTCACTCTACTAATTCTACTATCTCAACTCTTATACCTTTACCTCTCTGGCTTTTGTCTGATTACATGAAATATCTCTGCTCTTATGTTCTGCCTGTATTTGCTTCCAGCTGTGGCAATTTCTCCTCAGTCTCTATTTGTTATTCTTCCCTTTGTGCTTTAATGACTCTATGATGGGCATCTCACACAATCCCCCCCTTAAATTTTCCCTATCTCTATTCTTTCTTTCTTCCTCTCTTCATCTATTTCCTCTTTTTCCTTGTTCCTTCCTTCGGATATTTTTGTTTGTCTGGGTTTTTTTTTTTTTTTTTTTCTTAGATCTTATTTTTTTTAGGTAATCTCTACACCCAACTGGGGCTCAGACTCACAACCCTGAGATCACACTGCTCTATCAACTGAGCTAGCCAGGTGCTCCCTTCCTTCGGATGTTTATTTAATCAGTCTGCCCCCACCCCCTTCTTTCCCTCTCTGTGGTTCTCCTCAGTCCCTTTGCCTATTCTTCCATCTCAGTTTACATCCCTGATTCTGACTTCTCTTCATCTTCCTACCAGTCTCTGCCTATCAGTTCCTGTCAGGCTCTTTGTGTTTTGCACTGTAGCTGTTTGTCCTTTGTCTTTCTGCCCGTCTCCAACTCAACATATTTCCTACTTTCTTTTTCTGCCAGTGAATCTTTCCATTGAGTGCCTCCTCCACCTTCTGTTCTTCTGCTTCTCAGCTCCCCTGACTAATTCCCCTCATCTCTATTCCCCCCCTCTCTTCTCTCGCTCTGCCAATCTCTCAAAATGCCTCTCTTCCCTCCATCTCTCCTGAGTCTGGTTGTTCCTCTTTGTCACTCACTCTATTTCTCTGTCTAGACCATCTGTGCCTTGCACCCTTGGGGTCCCTTCCTGTCAGCTTTTATTTCTATTTTTCTTGTCCTCTTTGTTTATGCCCATTTTACCAGTTCTGTGACTTTGGTTCCCGTCAGCATCCATGACAGTCTTTCTTAACATTTCGCCAGGGATTCCCTGTCTTGCCCTCCATCTCTCTTCACCTCTGTCTCTTCGATACACGTGATCCTTCTCTTTCTTTCTGTCCCTCAATCTATGTATGTCTATTTCTATCATCCCTTTTGTCTTTCTCTAGCTCAACTTTTGGGCAGAATTTTTTTGTTTTAATCTTCCTGTCTCTTGCTTTTGCTCATGTATCTTTTCTGTGGATAATTAAGGGTTATCTCTTTCTGTCCATTGTTTAGTAGAATAGCAGTCTTAATCTGCTTTACACTTTCCATAACCTGGCTGTTCTGCCTGAAGAAAGGAGAGATTTTGTGCCATAGGGGAAAGAAAAGACAGCAGAAGTGGTAGGGGAGAGGGGCGCCTGGATGGCTCAGTCAGTTAAGCGTTGAACTCTTGATTTCAGCTCAGGTCACGATCTCAGGGTTGTGAGATCAAGCCTGGCATTGGGTGTAGAGCTTACTTAAAAATAAAATTAAAAAAAAAAAAGAATTTTTCCTGTCTCTTAAGTGAGATGAGAGAATGAAAATTGGATGGTTAAAAAATTACCCCAGGGGCACCTGGGTGGCTCAGTCGGTTAAGCACCTGACTCTTGGTTTCAGCTCAGGTCATGATCTCAGGTTTGTGAGATGGAACCTGCTTAAGATTCTCTCTCTCTCTCTCTCTCTCCTATTGCCCCCACCTCTAAAAAAAAAAGTTGCATGGGAGAAAGGAGAGGACAAGCTTGCAAATGAATCCTAGTAGAGAGTCAGATATTCCTTAATCCCTCTGCAGGCAAGTGAAAGCCTTCCCTCATCTACTTCTACCCCTGCCTTCATCCTTCCATGAAAGCCTGGACCTTGGAAAACGTTACACTTGGCACCCAGAATGGGTGTTTAAGTCCCTGCTATGGCTCTGGACTTCAGTACTGTCCTAAGAAGACAGACCTAGTCCCATGCTCATTCCTTTAAGGATCTGCACTTTCGGACACCTGGGTGGCTCAGTCGGTTAAGCGACTGCCTTCGGCTCAGGTCATGATCCTGGCATCCCGGGATCAAGTCCCGCATCGGGCTCCCTGCTCAGTGGGGAGTCTGCTTTGCCCTCTTGACCCTCCCCCCTCTCATGCTCTCTCACTCTCTCTCCCTCAAATAAATAATAAAAAATGAAAATATTTAAAAAAAAAGAATCTGCATTTTCTTAGAAAAGGTCAGGAGATAGTAAGAAAATTTAAAAGGCAGATGCTGGGCTTTTTAAAAATTTAAAAGGCAGTAGGACTAGCAGTAAGTACAAACACAGTAGTGTGGCTTTGAGAACCAGAAATAGCCGCGACTCTAGTGGTCCAGTTCTTCTGTTTCTTGGCCACTAGTACGTCCATCCCTACTGCTACAGATAGCACCTGTTGTGGCCTCCTCCCCCTGCTAGAATTTGGTTGCAGGTGAGACCTCTCTTCCCTCTGAACCCACCCCCTCCACATTAGATCTCTCCGGTCCTAATAGGACCTCACCTTTCTTCACCTGTTCCTGTGTTAAAAGTAGAGGATGTCCTTGGCAATTTCACTTAGCTTCATGCCTCCTGCCACCCCTTATTGGTAGCACTGGCCGTACCTCGAGTTAGTTTGCTGGAAGAAGCAGTCATCTGATGATGGAATTCACTGAACAACAGCCCAGTTTCCCACCCATCCATGAACATCAGCATTTCTTCTCAGATCCTAGGAATGGGGGAGGGGTGTGAGTGACTTGGAAGAGGGACCGAGATACTGAAAATTCAGTCCAGTCCTTACCCCAATGAAGGACTGTACACTGTACACCACCATCTCCTTGTCCTGGCCCTACCTCTCCCAGGACTGGCAGAAGAGGAGCCTGAGGCCTCTCTCTAGTCTTTCAGGCTGAGAGTGGAATCATCCCTGGTGACAAGCTCACCATCACGACATCTCCTTGTGCCCCTGGTTTCCTTGTGCCCAGGGATGGGTGGATGAGGCTGAGACCGCAGGACATCGCTGACCAAAATACGGACACCCAGTGTGATGCTTAGGGCACCCACAGTGACCAGCCCAGTTGCACCAAGGACGACCAGAGGAGGCGGCACCTGGTGTCGCTGTCAGATCAGCCACAGACTCATCCACCCCAGAGGCACCAGGCGGAAGAGGACCAGGGTGGCCAGGGTGGCCCAGCTGGCCATGCGGAAGGCCAGGGATGGGGCCCGGTGAGAAAGCAGCAGCAACTGTCGTAGGTGCAGGCAGGCAGAGTTCAGCTCCAGGAGCAGAGACACCATAGAGAAGCCCACATAGTGGCTGGACGGAATGGCGGTGCCGAAGCAGCTCACTACCTGGGGAACCAGGGTCAGAGGTCAGAGGACCCTCCATGACCTCCCCCCCGCATCATGGACCAATATCCCAGGCCTTAAGACAGGGGCTCCCAAGCATTTTGTGGCACCCTATCAAAAACCTGCCCTTTATACTTACCCTTATGTTGGGGCCTGAATGGCCTTAAAATAACCCTTCCATAGGACAGGAGCAGCCTTGGCCCAGAGGCTCTCTCCCCTGGGGCAGCAGCAGCATCTGCACACTTCCATGCCTGGGCTTTCATGCCCCACGCCCACTCCCTATACTGGGACTCCCCTTTCTCAGGAAAGCTCCGTATGCAACATTTCTGCAATCAGATGGGACCCCCCAGGGAATCCAAGCTACTCAGGCAGTGCTCAGACTCCAGCTGGGGCTAGCAGTCAATCCTCTTCCCCCAAACCAGCCCAAGGTTGGGGAGATCAAGCACCCACAGGGGTCAGAGACTCTGGGAAGTCATTGGACAGAAACCTGAAGAGAAATTGGGGACCCCAGCCTGAGCATACCACCCTTCCTGTGTCTCCTTTCCCCAAGTCTCACCACCAAATGATGACACAGATGTTCCCAGGCCTGGCCCAAGGTCTGGTTCCACAGTATGTCAACTCCATCGGCCAAGAAATAACCTATGGGTGTGGCACGAGGGGGAGGGGCATTAGGCCTCCCCTAAGTTGTAGCTCCTGGAGAGGAATCTTCAGCCCCTCCTTTTTCTGGGTCCTGTTTCCTTCAGCAAAGCTGCCAGAAACATTTGACCCCTATGGAGAGGGCAAAGGGGACGTGGAGTTACCATTGTTAGGTTGCTCCCCGACCAAATGGCCCGGCATTCCCTGCAGACTCACCCACGGACACAGCCACCAGCACCAGGGCCCAGGGCGGGTGGCCGTGAATCGGGTCGGCAGCCATCTGAGGGTACACCAACAGCCTGTAGGAGGGGGGGGGGGGACCATGGTCAGCATCGTGCAGACTCAGACCCCATTCTCCCGCTGTGCACGCTCACCCCCCCATTCACACCCCCACCCGGTGTCAGACTGTCGAGGTCCGGCTTCGATTTTGAAGGTGCCCGCCGGGTCTTTCAATCTCAGCTTTCCACCCCTCACCCAGGTGCCTCCCGAACCTCTATACCCCGCACTCGAGCAGCGCCCCAACCCCTGCGAGCAGGCTGTGCAGCAGGGAGACACAGATGTTGCGCCACTTCCAACGGTCCTGGGCAGCGGATCCCGGCGCGGGCAGCAGCTGCAGCGCCCAGTGCAGCCCCCGGAAGGCGGCGAAGGAGGCGCCGGTCACAAGGAGCCCCCAAGACGCCATGGCCTGGTGGGCGGGCTAGATCCGGTTCAGTCCCTTGGACCCCTGCGCTCTCAGCCGGGACTCATCCAATGCCAGCTGCGGGGACTGCGCGCTGGCTTCCGGACAGGAACAGGTCCTCGGCCTCCCCGGCCCACCGCGCCTCTGGCATCCGCTCCAACTTTTCCAGGGTTTGACCACGCCCCCATCACTCGGCTAGGTGGCGATTGGAGCAGCCGTGGGGCCACGCCCCGGAGCCCCCGCAGCCGATCGCGTCCCGCCCTAGCCGGCGATGGAGGGTTGGGGGCTCCCGGGGACCAAGCCTGGCGACCGAGCTCAGGGGGACTTCCAGCATGTCGATAGGGGTCTTCCCCAACGCCATGGGTCCCAAACCCCTCGGAGCTCCAGCAATAGGTTGCTAATCTCACCTGACACTCCCACAGGCCCCGCCCCATCGTCTTTCACCTCCTCTCCCCACGCTAACCTCTCACCGGCTGGTCATCCTTCTGCCCACTGCACCCTCCCCGACCTGAAGGTAGAGGCCAGCGCACACCCGCTCGCACATGCTTAAACATCGCCACCGCCCTGCCCCGCACCACCCCCCGTCCCAGCTGTGGGGGGACCTCGCTTCCTTGGAGACCTTTAGCACATCATAGCGACCCTATGATTCCAACAGTCCTGTTCCTTTACGCTGTACCTTCAAACGGAACAACAGCTCCCATTTTGGAGAGGCGACCTACCGGGGACTCCTCCCCCAACCACTTTTGGGGGCCTACAGAGGAGCCTTGCTATTAGGAAGGGGAGGCAAAAGGAAACCACTCAACACCGAAGTCTTGAAAAGCACCCCTCCCCCAAGGGCTTGGCACACGGTAGGTGAATAGAATCCCCTCTTCCAATCTGAGGCGGCAAGGAGAGGCCACACAGGGTCACCTCAAGGTTGGGGCAGAATCAGAGAATAACAAAGACTGATAGGATTCTAGAACCTTTCAGCCTGGAGAGGAAAATCTGCGCCCCTCCCCCATCGTCCAACTCCTGAAGAGTGACAGGTTTTTACTGTTTTCCTTACTCCACTCCACACCTCTTAGCGGGCTGAAAGCCAGTAATTCAGAGCGCCGTTGCCATACATGGAAAGGGCAGATTCCAGCTACTCCCAGAGAATGAAGTTGTCCACATTCTCACAACCCCTTTTCTTCACCAAAACCCCACTATGTCCAAAGGGCTAGGGGCACCCCTGGATTCCTCCACACCCGCCTCTCCAAGCTTTTAAAAAAATTACACTGATTCTTTTAAATTTTATTACATGAAAACCATACACAATATAGAAAATTTTAAAGTTACAGAAAAGCCAAAGAGGAGAATTACAATGACTTTGTTCCACTGTGCAAAGATAACCACCATTAACATTTTGTCTTTTTCATCTGTTTTATGTATACAAGAATATACCCATCTTTTTAAAAAACAAAATTGAGATCACATAATACACATTATTTTTATAACCTTCTTAATATTCAAAGAGCATTTTTCTTTCCAGTCAAATGTTCTTCTACATGACTTTTAATGGCTGTGCGGTACACCATCTGGATGGATATACAATGATTTACTTAAGCAATCCCCCATTGCAAATTTTCATTACAGCAGAAAAGAAATGAATTCCCAATCAGACAGTTGCTTCTCATTTTCTCTATTGCAATACTGGGATGAGCATCTTGCGACTAAATCTTTAACTATTTTCTCAGGATAAATTCCCAAATGTAGAATGACTAGGTCAAAGGCGATGGAAACTTTTAGGGTATTTGAGACATATTACCAAACTGACATCCAGGAAGGCCGTACCAGTTTGCACCCCCATATGCAATGTATAGGAGTGTTATTTTAGTATTACTTTGCCAATACTGGGTCTTTCTTTTTTTAAAATATAGTTTGCTAAGGGAAAAATGCTTTCAGCTATATTTGTCTTTCTTTAATTACTAATGAAACACACTTTGTTTTTCATGGTTTTATCCATTTTGAATTTCTTCTATGAATTTCCTTCGTATGTCCTTTCACAGCTGGTTCTTGTTCCTTGAGGCTGCTTTATATAAAAATTACAGGGTAGGGAGGGAGAAGTAGGAGAATGAAGCCGCAGGACAATTTAATACAGTCTCATATCTCTGAGGGAGGCAGTAAGTAACACTGGAGAGAAATAGTGAATGAGGCAGATGGCTGGGAGCTGGCTGTCCTCCCTCCTCCTGGGGTGCTCCTGCCCTTTATGGGTCCCCTCTGCGGGGTGCCCAGACAGGGCCCTGTGCTCTCCAGGCCTGGTCCTTCACTGGTCTTCTGCCTGCCTCTGTGTCCCCAGGCTGCTCTTCCTCATCTTTACTTCATGATGGGTGAGGATGGCAGAGCCACATACCCGGGGCTGGAGGGAGACTCTGTGGCCAGCGAAGCGGGGAGGGGAAGAAAGGATGGAAGCAATGTCCAGGGACAGAGCAATCTTTGTTGCAGACTATGAGTTGACTCAGTCTACCCACCCCCTCCACCGCAGTCCCACACACATCCAGCTTAGGCTGCAGGAGGGTGGGTTCAATGATCTACTCTCCCCTAAATCTCTGTTTCTCATAAATGGAGACTAGGACCCCGCTATCTCCACACCTCCGGCTCCACAACAGGACAGCTTCCTACAGCCCCTGAATTTGGCCACCTTCAGGCAGGGAGACTGGGTCATGGTTGAACCACACCAGAGCCTGAGCCCCAAGAGTTAGACTGCATCAGGAGCTGGGGGGTGGTAGGTTTATACTGCTTGATGCCCCAAAGGGGGTCACATCCCATAACCCACCTCTCCTCGTTGCTGGAGAGAACTGTCTGCCTGCACAAGCCGGAGCAGGGTCTCACAAATTATCCTGGAAGGTAAAGTGAGGAAAGAAACAGGAACAGCAGTTGCAACCCCATCAGGGGCTGCCGTCCTGTTTCGGGTGGCAGAGGAAGCCTGGGGCCACCTTTGCATGGTGGGATGTCAATGGAGAGACTGAGCTCCTCCCGGCCCCTTGCACTGGTCTAACCCTAGCACCCCCTTCGGCTATGGTGTTCATGGATGGGGGGGGAGGGGCAATAGCTTATGTGAAAAGCTGTTTTGTTCCCACCCACAGGGAGAGGACAGCCCAGGCTCTGAGTAGCCTGTAGAAGTAGGCTTCTGATTCCCTCCTGCATACTCAACCATGTGATTCCCCATCTCACAGGTGGAGAAGCTGAGACAAGAGGTCTAAGGGTCCCACACATAGGTGATTATTCCTGAATCTAGAGTCTAGGCCAGTCCAAGGAAATAGAGGAAAAGGTAAGAGCATGGGGATGACTACTCAGATGGGAGTCTCGGTATGACCTTTTTCCTGAAGAAGAAATTTACTTTGGACCTCACCTGGAAAGGCAGTAGGAGTGAAAGGGAGACAAGGAAGGAGGGCCAAGAAAGACATCTGGGTAAAAGGGTAGACAGTTTTCTTTGCTCCTGTCATCATCCTCCTCTTGTCACACCAGTGTAGACCAACTATCCTTGGTTGGTCACAGCCATCTATTCCCCAAACCAACCAGGGTCTCTAATCTGAAATTGTTCTTTCTTGCTGGGCCAATCTGGCTGAAGGCTCTCCAACTGAACAAGGTCCCCTTCCCTCCCACTGTTCGGACCTTCCCAGCCCCAGTTCTGTCACCTTCCAGATGAAGGGGAAAGCAGCTCCTTCTCCTCTTCCTCCTCCTCCTTGAAGCCAGGGGCAGAGGGCAACAGTTCTTCAACTGGCAGCTTTAGCTGGGTCAGGACATAAAGCTTGCCACTGAAGAACTACTGCGGCTCAGCCAGGTGAGGATGTGGGAGGGACACGCTCCTAAAAGGAAAAGGAAGAAAAAATGGGAAGGATCTGAGCAGGGCCATATCACAGGGACACTGTCCCACTGGCCATCAAAGTCCAGCTCCAACAGATGCTCAACCTTGTAACAAAGCGTTCTTGGCTCTGACCTGGGCCTGCAGGAGCGGTTAACTTCAGTAAGAAGCAAGAGGCAGCTCTAAACATACTTCCTTGTGCCTCTTTCCAGAACCGAAGGCTGTAGAGACCCAGGTCTGCTCTCACCCCTCCTTGCCCCAGCTATCCATGGAGCCTCTTCAGCATTCAGAGAGGGCTGGACTTAGAACCCTGGACATACTCCACCAGTTGCCCAGGTACTAGGTGAGAAGTTACACCTTAGGTCCAGAAATGTGAGTTCAGTGATCAGGGAGTTCAGCTGGAAGAGTTTTGGGGGCCTACATCTGGGGAAGAGTGAGGAAGGGAGGAGGTCTAGAGTTTGGAAGGTCAGCAGAGCCTCCAGGGACTGTGAGGAGAGGACAGGGGACCAAAGGCTGGAGGGGAGGGAGGTATGGGCAGGGTGGATGGGCAGCTTCCCCAAGACTCTTAAATGCCAGGCATTCCGCTTGCGCATTCCGGGTACATCTGGTATGAATTCCAGGCTGTCTGCCGGCCCCTCCATGTCTGAACTTTGTTCCAAGTTCCAAGCCCCGCCCCCACAGTTCCAACGCATGAATCAGCAGGAAAAGCCGGGCCCTGCAGCATGGCCCAGGGAGGGGGCTGGGGGCGTGGCAGGCTTGAGGGCCTAGAGCTGGGGAGGGCGGGTCCGTGCTGACACTCAGTCCAAGGGCATGGCCCATGCCAGTGTGAGGAGCCAAAGGCAGTCTTGCCTTGAGAGGTCTATACTCAGAGGGTAAGAAAAATTAGGGTGGGGGTGGGAGGTTTTCAAATTACAAAAACCCTCTTGGGGAGACATGAACTTTGTGGTATCTTCCTTCCCCCAGGTGACCAGTCCAACTCCTTCCCACTCTCCTCTGTCTGAGCCAGCTCTGTTCAGCCCATAGGACTCAACGGCTGCTCAGAGTCTGTGCCAAGCAGGTGCCCTTGGCTGCAGGGCGGGGTGGGCCCAGGGCACTGACCCTCTGACCAGCTGCTCCATCAACTCTTTGGCACCCTGACAATTCCTAGCCCAGTCTGACAGCCAGGATGACAGGCCAAATGAGTTGGAGGCTGGAACTAGGGCCGGAGGGAGGTGGGGGCGATAGCCTAGCGAGAGGCCATAGGGAGGGGCCAAGAGTTGGCCGAGAGGTGGGGAGAGAGGGAGCCCAGTGATGACTAACCCAGGCGCCCCACCCAGCCAGCCGGCTTCCCAGGCGGTCACGGCCAGGCCTGGGCTAGGGGCCCCACAACCGGACATGCTGGGGGGAGGTGCAGAGGTGACCTTCTCTGGGCCCAAGACGGCCAGTTAGGCTGGGGAGGGGGGGTTAGAGTTTCCAGGTCCTCCTCCAGCCCGCTTCCCCCACCAACCGCGGTGAAACCCTAACCTTTGGGTTGCATAAGGCCCCCGCACCGCCGCCCCCTACTCCTCTCCCCTCCCCCCTTACATAACATCCCCTGGAGGGAACGAGAGGAGGGGCCGGCCCGCCCAGAGACCCCTTCCCTGCCAGGGCGCTCAGTTGGCCCTGACCAACTGACTGCCAGTAGAGGAAAACTACCTCCCCGCTACCCGCCCAGTCCAAACCCTCCCCAAGCTGGGAGGCCAGTTCTCGTATCCGCTGACCAGGAGGCGCCGAGGTTAGCTGCCCCTAACCCTCTGGCCCCTCGTCTTCCTTCTAGCCACTCTGCAAAACCCTCCGCCACGACTGTCGTTCCGTTCCCTTTCTTTAAACCTCCTGCCACACTACTCCAGCCAGTCCAGGCCCCCTCTCCCCAAAGGCTTCCCTGCCCCCGCCGCCCCCTTACCCCTCCCCCGGAAGGGCAGGGTGTGGCCACCAGGACCCTACTTTCCCCCATTACCCCATTAGCATGGTTCCCTCCAGTGCGACCGGGACCCCAGCTCACACCCACCTGGTGCTGGGTGGGGGGGTTGCTGAGGGTAAGGGAGCAAATCAGTGCGTCCGTTCCCCACGGCCGGCGGCGCTGTGTCTTCCCTGCGCCCAGCACACACCGGCTCCAGTCTCCGATCAGCTGGCGGCGTCGTGACGCACAAGCTGCGATTGCACCGCCCAGGGCCAATCACCGCCCACTGCTGGGCAGCGTGACCACACCCACTCGGGGGCGCCAGCACTTCGCCCAGGTCCCGCCTCTCCGGGCGTCTTAGCTCTGATTGGCAAGGAGGCCACCCCTTTGCCTGGTGGAGCTGCGCTAGGCCACGCCCATCAACTCACGAGCTCGCCAATAGATGAAAGGGTGTGGCTGAGCCCTCCGCCTAAGGCCGCTTGCTTCGAGAGCGCTACGTCAAACCAGAGTCCTAAAGAGCAGAAGGAAGTAAAGGCGTGTGTGTTTGCAGTGCACACTGGTCAATGTAGTTCTCGGTCTGACACCTCGTTCCCAGAATCCAGCGCGCTCTGTGAGTTGGCATTTTTAAACTCATTTCTGAATCCATCCCGGCGAAGTCCTTAAAGGGCTACAGCCCCACCTTTTGGGAGCCGTGAGTGCTTCTTTTAAGACTACCCCAAAACGGATTCGCTGACTTCTGCGCATTAAGCAATAGCTCTCTAGGGAAAAATGGAGCAGGCGAAGCAGCAGGAGTGGGTAGAACTGAAGGTGGAAATCAGCCTCTAGCGCAGCAGGCTCTTCCATTGGATGAGGACTCCTGAGGGTTTTTGGGGAAGGGAAAACTGCCCACCTCGCCTAGTGCTAGCTTTCACTGGAGAGATCTAGTCCTCCTCTCCTGGCGGGCTCTTACTAACCAGGAGACTTTTCTTGTAGAGTATGTCTTGTCCCAGTCGTAGAGAGAGCCTCTCAAGCCGCAGACTCCTAACAAAAGATTCATAGTACAGTCTTCACCTGAGGGCAGAAGCAAGACTTGTGGTTGGAAACTAGGGGATGGGTCGTGCCAAAGTGTCAACTGGTAAGCAACCCCATCCTCTGCCTAATACTCCATTCTGTCCCGCCCTCCAGAAGCCTTTCACTGACTCAGGCCTACTTAGAAGGGATTTCAAAGGTAGAGACCAATGAGGAGGCTGCCCCTTCCCCAGGGGCCAATCAGAGCCTTGGGGGGGGGGCGGGGAATGGGCAAAATCGAGAGGAACCCAATGACTTGGCAAAAGCTGCTGAACCGCTTATTTAAAGGGGCAAGTCTGGGACCCGTGGCAATTTATCACCCACCCGCCCCCACCCCGCTCCCCCAAAGACGAACGTGTGGACGGGGGTCCATGACCTTTCCATAGGCTCCCAATTGAGTGTAAGAGTAACTGAGCCGGAAGGATGAGTCTGGGGTGTGAGATAGTTTCTCTGTATTAAATACGGGCACCACCAAGTAATTGCTGTGGTTCCTAGGAGCTCCAGAATTTTGAGCCTGCGTTCAGAACATTGTGCCTTTAAGGAAACTTCCTGCCTTCCACCCCAGTAACAGCTGATTGTTGGAAAGTGTGACCTCAGGGGACGAATCAGCTGTTACCACATCCTCCTCCAGGCCTGCCCTCCTCCATCCCCTTATCCCCCCACCCCCACCCCGGCGCCTCCGCCCCAACCCTCTAGGGTCGTGAGGGAAGAAAGGAGATGGAACCCCAGATATGGGGGACCTGCTTGTATGTTCTTTCCGCTTTCACTCCAAGATTGTGTCTCTCCTCCCTCTCGCCGCCCCCCCCCCCCCCACTCTGCTGGTTAGTTCTTCAGAGGTTCTGAGCTTGGAACGAGAGGTATTTCCTGTCTGCACAGTCAGCTCAGATCTGCCTCCGCAGGTCTAGAAGGAGGCCAGTATTGGGGAAGCCCAGAATGGCGGCTGGCTGTGTCTGTGGGTGCTCCAGGAATAGGTGCTGGGGAAGGTCCAGTGAAGCAGCAAACCAAACCTAGAGAAGAGGAATGGCTGTGGAAAGCAAGCCTCCTGGGGTCAGAACCCTGCTCCCCAGGCCATTTGCCCCCTACTCCCTACTCAAGTTGCCCTATTCCTTCCCAGACAGGGACCAGCTAAGAGGACTCTCTTGGCTTTGCCCATTCACTCCACTTTTACCCTAGATGCCACCTGGCCCTTGTTTTATTTATATTCTCACCCTCCACAGCAAGGGTGCTAATGTGGACCTTCACAGGGGCTGCAGGTGGAAGGCACTGATCCCAGGAACCAGGGGCTTTGACTGGGAAGTCCTGCAGGAAGACCCAGGTAAATATTTTACCCCAACCCTGAGCTGGGGAGTCAGGGTCATTCCAGGACAAACTTAGTGTGAAGTCCCAGGACTGACTTGGCAAGGTTGGGAGAAACTGAGCAGGGCCTTGGCCAAGCTTGGAAGAAAGAGAAACCTCACCAGCTGCCCCCATTATCCATTATCCTTATCTTGGAAGTCCCATCCCCTTCCTACCCAAGGCCTTTGGGGTAGGCCTATCCCCACTTTGTTCTGCTAACTCTCCCTCCCCTCACCCTCCCAGCCCATAGAGCAAAAGCACAGGCTTTGAGTCCAGGGTTTCTCAACCTCAGCACTATCGACATTTTGGGCTAGATAATTTCTTGTTGTGGGGGCTGTCGTTTGTAACATACTTAGCAGCATCCCTGGCCCCCTAGATGAAATTAGCAACACCCCTACCCTGCAGTTAGGACAACCACAAGTGTCTCTGGACATTACCAGATGTGCCCTGGTAGCCAGAATCTCCCCCAGTTGAGAATTATGGAATTAGACAAACTTGGATTCAAATTCCAGCCCTTACCAGCTGTGAACTTGATGAAGATACCCAACATCTCTGCACCTCAATTTCCTCATCTACAAAAGAGTGAATAATAAATTCACGGTTTAGGGGCGCCTGGGTGGCTCAGTCGTTAAGCGTCTGCCTTCAGCTCAGGTCATGATCCCAGGGTCCTGGGGTCGAGCCCCTCATCGGGCTCCCTGCTCCGCGGGAAGCCTGCTTCTCCCTCTCCCACTCCCCCTGCTTGTGTACCCTCTCTCGCTGTGTCTCTCTCTGTCAAATAAAATCTTCAAAAAAAAAAAATTCACGGTTTATTGTAGGTATTAAAAAAGGATTATATTTGAAAACACCTAGCACAATATCTGGCCCACAGTTGGTGCACTAAATGTTAGCTTCCTTCAGTTTTCTCCCTGCCAGATCAGCAAGAACTAACCTCACTCAGCCTGGGCTGACTGCCTGGGCAGCTGCAGCTTCCCTCCCTGACTATCCAAGCCATGACCTCCAGGAAACTCAATATTGAAGTTGGCAAAAGGGAGTGGCTAATTTGGTCCCAGATTCCCCAAAGCTCAAGGGTGCTTGGGTTGGGATTCCACGGAAATGTGGGAATTGAGCTGTTACAAATCATTACATCAAGATGTGGCCTGCAGAATGAACTGGGGAGCTTGTTAAAAATTCAGATTCCTGGGTCTCACCACAGACTACTGAATCAGAAGTACATCATCAAGTTTGAAAACCACTGTTTTAGGCCTCGGATTGGGGAAGGAGTCAGTGCTCCAGAAATCTTAGTGCACCAGTGCCCAGCATTGTAAGGCCATCCTATTCAAGGGAAGAAAAGAACCCTTAAGTTATGGTTAGTTACACTCAAGGTCATTGTTGTATTGCAAGGAAACCACTAGAGGGCAGAGCACACACCGACTTGCAGGGAGAAAAAGCAGCGCCTGCTCAGCCTGGGTAAACAGACCAGAGCAAAGACCAGGTGGACCCAATTTTATTGTTCCTTAGCAGCAGGCACTACCTTTTATCAAAATCCGTTCTCTTGCCTTCAGGTACTCAGACCAAATTTGGGGATGGGGATTGTCAAGGAACCCGTAATTTCTCAGGTGAAAAAATAGTACTGTATGGCCAAGGAGTACAGTGAACATTGGTTTGAGAATGAGATAGTCTGAGTTTGAATCTTGGCTCTACCACTTCTTACCTATGTGACCTTGGGCAAGTTACCTAAGGGTGTCATCTTCCTCATCCTAAATACTAATAAAAATATCTTCTTGGGGCGCCTGGGTGGCTCAGTGGTTAAGCGACTGCCTTCAGCTCAGGTCATGATCCCAGGGTCCTGGGATCGAGTCCCGCATCAGGCTCCCTGCTCTGCGGGGAGCCTGCTTCTCCCTCTCCCACTCCCCCTGCTTGTGTTCCCTCTCTCGCTGTGTCTCTCTCTGTCAAATAAATAAATAAAATCTTAAAAAAAAAAAATCTTCTTAAAAGGGCTGTGGTGAGGATTAAACAAAACAGGATATGCAAAGTGCTTAGCAGGGTGCCTGGCTCCTAATCAGTGCTCCAGGAGTGATGGTTATAAGTTATTCCTGCCCAAGGCCATGTGACCAAGCACATCGGGGCTCCCGCTGCTTCAAGAAAGAGGATACAGATGGAATCAGATCTCAGCCGAGCCATTTGTTTCTTCTGTAATTAGGACCGTAGTTTTTCTTGTCTTTATGGATCCCCCAAACCTCTACACCAAACTCCTCCACAACGCAAAATCTCCTTCTAGGAGAGACTCAAAAAAAAAAAAAAAAAAAAAAAACCAAACCAGCCGGTGGTTTTACTATATGGCCTCTCTGTCCTGCAAATGAGTCAGAACTGAGTTTTGGAGCCAGCGCTCTGGTTTCTGCTCCCTATCCTGTGCCGCATCCTCCTCCCCCACCCCAGCCAAAGTAGCAACTGCACGGCTCTGACCACAGCAGCAGGCTCTGACCCCGCAGAGGCAGATCTTCAACGGGAAGTCTTGGGGGGAACATTTCCTCCCAAGAACTACAAGCATCTGGGCCTGGGACACTTCTCTCCCTCTCAGATCGCCCAGAATTTGAAAGAAAGAGAGAGCGAGCCCCAAGAGGGCTTGCGGGGTGGGGAGAGGCGCGGAGGGAGTACCCTAGGGCAGAAAGTTTGTGCACCAGCTTCTAGGTTTCCATTCTGCCACTGGGCAAGTCTCTTTGGTGGCTCTTGGTAATCCCTTGTAAAATATAAACAATATTAACTGTCTTTTCTACCTCAAGGGTTGTTGTAAAGACCAGACGGAATGTTACTGATGAAATGTACTGGAAAACTAAAAGCCCCTTCACTTGGTAGGCAGCATGGAGGCGCTGAAGGGACTTAACG